ATATATATATATATATATATATAATACATATAATATACAATAATATATATTCATGCTCCATATGTGCATAAAACACAAGTAGGGCGTTCATAAAACACACGGGTCAATCAGGGCGTGACTAATGACAAATCTGTCAATTATTTCAAAATTTGTCATTATTAACCCTTGATATTATCAGGAGTGTATAATAATAGATCTATTACTAATCTATAATAATCTATTATGACATATACTCTTAGCTATATATCCATTCTATAGGTGTGTTACACAGGTGCGGTACTCAATATAAGAGACGGTTACCTGTCTGAAACACGAGTTCACGTCCCCCTGCTCCTGCTGCCTCCAGGTTAACGAACGCACGCACATCCTTCGCCCAGGGATGCTGGGTGATGAAACCATGACTGGCCTGAAAGGATGCGAGCACAAATCAATCACAGACATTACTAAACACCCCAAAGGATTTGCTACTTGAATTAATCGTGTAACGGATTGCATTATAACATCTATTTACAATGATATATGAACCGGTGTAAATCATTGGTCTATTATTTACTCCTGATATGACGCGTAGCAAGAGTAGGCTTTTCTGTTTAACACGCATGATTTGTGACAATGCTATTCCCCTCCCTCTATTTTTACCCCACCTCCTCTTTCTCTACCTCCTCCCTCCCATCCTCCTCATCCTCCATCTCCTCCTCCTACATAAGTACATATGGGTTTAGTAGCACAGATGAGCTGAGATGGACATAATTAAATAGATTCGATCTAAGATTGACAGTTAAATGTGCTATGCCGACACAATGCATTTTATAAATCAATTCCACTTCGTCATCTGTAATTAACATTTTAATAGAGTTAATTGTGGCAGACCGCTGGCTGCGCGGAGTGCTTCTAATTATGCACGGAAGCATTACTAACGATTACACAGTTAATGAGAGGATGGCCGCACTGCCAGTGATGCAGAGTGGATGAGAATGAAACCTATAACTATTGTTATTTATACTAGACTTTGAAGATAGGATGGTAGTATTTTCATGCTTTTGTCAAACAATGCACAATTCAACTGATTTATGGCTCTTAGCTCCTGTACTATAGACAGCTGAGCGGTGGAGAAGCAACCATGCAGCAGATGCCGGGGTTGAGGCTTCCATAAAGGGTGAATAACTTCCACCCACTTCCCTGGGAAAATGGCTGCCGGTGATGCTGTCATTAAAACGCTGCTATATCAGCACGACAAGCGAAGCGGAGTGCTGATTTTGTAAGTTCCGTAAAAAGCGACGTGTTTAATTAAAACTGACGACAAAACGCTGCATTCAGCAGCATCGCCGCCAGCAGCAGCGGACGGCAACGTTGTAGGCACGGCCACGCGATAGCATGCAGCAACGCACGATTTTGACGAAGCACAATGATTCAGCAGAGCTGGTTAAATTCCCACGGACCATGGGCCCACCCATGCTCCCAGGCTCCCTGCTGTTGTACGACTGTTCCCATGCAGCACCGACACATTCACACACGCACCTACGCACCTACACACGCACGTGTGTGTGTGTGTGTGTGTGTGTGTGTGTGTGTGTGTGTGTGTGTGTGTGTGTGTGTGTGTGTGTGTGTGTGTGTGTGTGTGTGTGTGTGTGTGTGCTATGTGTGTGCCACACACACACACACACACACACACACACACACACACACACACACACACACACACACACACACACACACACACACACACACACACACACACACACACACACACACACACACTACACACACACACA